CCCCAAAACCCCAAAACCCCAAAACCCCATGAATCAATGAATACATCAAATGATAGTTTATTTATTTTAAATAGATTAATATGTTCGCTAGAAATAATTTATTTTCATAATTAAAACATGGGTTAATCCATAAGTTCTAGTGAGAGTAGAGGTGGGCTCATCGATCCCACAACCACAACAGTCTTTTACCACACAAAGTCCCTAAGCAAAGACTAGTCTACTGAAATAGTCTAACAACAATCCAAACAAAAGCTAAAGCGCTCACAATCTTACGACATAAATGCTAGCTACAGCAGTAGTAGCTCAAGCACTCTTGTGAATACAAAACGGAATTCAATTTTATAAAAGAACATGCCTCAGCAAATTACAAATCTGAGCTCCTACATACACAACTCTCGAATCACATCACTCAAGGATATTTATCACGTGAAGATAAAGAATATATACTTTGCAAAGTGCGCCATCAAAGGCTGGTTTGTTAATCACTGGGCGCTTATTCTCAAAAGAGAGGACGATAAATACTTAACTATTTAGTTCGTAAAGAGTGGGCTCGAGATAGACAGATCAAATTCTTTTGATCGGGCGAGAGATGCAGTGGCTAGGTGCTCTGATGCAAGAATGGATCAAGTGAACACATAGCAAATGGGCAAGACGAAGAAGTGTATAGGCGAGATAGTAGAAGAGGCAATAAAATTAAACAGAGAGTATAACTTTTTCACATATAACTGCAGACATTTCGTTTTGGACTTGCTGCAGATTATAAGTTCCTGAATAGATTATTAGCACCGCGGATTAAACTCCTACAACAGTAATATTGAATATTGTAATAGTAAATAATGATTAATAGTTATTAATTATCTTGTACGAGATCACTCAGGAGGTCAACCTCCTTTGATTATTAATTCTGATTAGATTAAGATTTATTTCGAAAATTTCAATTTACTGATTGATCATCTCTAAATGGAAATAAGGAGGGACGGGGTTTTGGGGTTTTGGGGTTTTGGGG